TGGGGGGGGTAGTGGGATCTTCTGCAAGCAAGGGGGGCGCCTATTTCTGTTCTTGGATTAATACAAAGAAGAATAGCCAGCATTTATCATGTCCTTTCTGCATCTTCCAAGCCACCCTTTGAAATGAATAACCTTAATTTATAGAGAGGTTCCATGGGTTTGCTAAGTTTGCGTGACTCCTGAGTGGTAGATCAGAGAATTGAGCCCAGTCAGTCTGGCTCCTAAGCCTGTATTCTAGGCCATTCTACTCAAAAGGTAGGGGATCTCTTTTTGGAAATGGACAGGACTATGAAAGAAGGGGAAACTCAAAATTCAACTTACACTGGAAAGTACGCGTCCACGCTCTCAGCATTACCTGCCCACACCCCTGCACACCGCTCACCCACCCCTTCCTGGGCACACCGAATTTTGGTGTTTGCTCGTTCTCATCTGTCCACAAGGCTGGATTCTTATTGATGTCCTCCCACTGGAGATGCTCAGAGTGGAGGAGAGCTGTGCACCCTCCAAATCGTGACCCTCCCCCCCGCCGCCCTGCCATGGTTTGTGGTCTCTGGGGGGTATTTTCTTCCTTCTGAGAAGCCAACGCAGCAGCACTTTGCTCCAAGACATGGAGCCCATGAGACATGAGCTGTTCTGCTAAAGACCTTCCCAGGGACTTGGATCTTTCCAGGGCTGCCAATTATAAACAGATGCTCCTCCTGGGACCCACCCAGAGACCACCCAGCTCACGTCACTGGGGGAGGGGGGCGGGGGGAACTGTGCTCTGCAGCTGAGCTCCAGCAATGAACGCCAAGTCCAGGCACTCATGCAAGCCCCTTTGGGCAAAGAAGGCCAGGCTGTGTGGAGGAGAGTCACCCACTGTTCTCTGGTCAGCAGATTTTTCTAGAGACCTCCCCGGGCCAACGCCATGTGACAGTGTTAGTTGGCTTTTACTCTGTGGCAGGCCCATGCTGCGTACTAAGGTTACAAGAAAGGATAGGCTTCCCCAGAGGACCTTGCAAGCTTGTGGGGAAGGCAGGGGTATCCACGAACGAAGGTTAGTATTGGCAGCTGGGAATGTGAGTCCCGAGTCACACTGCACCACTGCTCATAAGTGGTGTGACCTTGGGCGAGTCATTTTACCCGCCTGAGCCTCCCCTGAACAGAATAACTCTACCCACTCATGGAATAGTAAGGATGAAAGGAAAAAAAACCCATGGATGTTCCCAGCCCACGGAAAGCGCTCACTAGATGTTAGCTGCTGTATAATGGGCATTGCTATTGTAGGGAGGACGGAAGGAGTAACCAGAGAAGCTTCAGAACTGAGGGGGCATTCAAGCAGGGTTGAATGCATGTGGGATGAACAGGAGTCCACAGTAGCCTTGGCATTTAAAACAGAGAAAAACAGCCTGTGCTGGGCACTAGGTAGGGTCACAGGGAACTCAGAATGAGTGAGATTTATTCCCTGCCCTCCCAGAGACAGGATCTAAAAGGGAGATGGTGACGACAGTGCACTTGGGGCGAAGTGCAGTGTGTGAGGCGTGGGCGTAAACCCTAACTATGGAGCCTCTGGGAGTTTCCTCGCTCATTCACACAACGATGGGGAGAGAGATCCAAATAGACAGCCACCTCACGGTGGAGGGGAGCTCCCGAGAGGCAGCGCCTGGGGGCTGGGGAAGCAAGCAGGGCTGGGACCCGCAGTGCTGAGTTACCTGTGTGCGAAGGAGCTGTTTGGGGGATGACCTGTGCGGAAGTTTTTCTTCTGCCTTCCTTTTTTAAGATCATAAATAATGGTCACCGTCCTTTAGAGACAGTTTCTCAGTACACCCAGGCATAAAGAAGCAAACCACAATCAGCCACGATCCCACCCGAGACAACCCCTGCTCTTACATAGCCTGGCAACTTCCATTAACCTGTTAGGCTTGTAGGGGCGCCTGGGTGGCTCAATCGGTTAAGCATCTGCCTCTTGATTTCAGCTCAGGTCATGATCTCAGGGGCGTGGGATCGAGCCCCGCATCTGTCTCCCTGCTCAGCGAGGGGGTTGGGGTGGGGAGTCTGCTTGCTTATCCTTCTCCCTTTGCCCCTCCCCCCACTCTCTCTCTCTCTCTCAAATAAATAAATAAATAAAATCTTTAAAAAAAAAAAAACACCTGTTAAGGTTTTAGAGTTGAGATTATCCTATATGGACAAGACTGCAGTCTTTTTTCCCCAGCGTTAGATCCCCCAGCATTTTCCCGCGTCGTGAACACTCGTCATTCTAACGGCTGCAGGTGAGGATATATCAAGAGGCTGTGCTGATTTTCTCAGCTTTTTGTCTCCAGGAGGCAACGGCTTTTCTCCTACTGGGAGAGAGTGAATGCTGGTGAGAAACCTCGGTTCAAATCCCAGCTCTGTCCCTCAGTTGCTGTGCGACCTCAGACAAGTTTCTTAGCCTCTCTGGGCCGCAGTTTCGTCATCTGTACAATGGGCATAACATGGCTACCTCACCAATCCCCAAACTTAAATGAAGTTCTCCCCACTTACTCTTTACCCCACTCGCCATAATTTGTGTCCGACGGTTTTCTCGCCCAGTCACTGCCTTCCCTCGCTGGAACACTGGCTCCCTGAGGCAGACAGTGTGGGCCCACCGCCCCTGGGAGGCTGGAGGTCTTGCTCCCCTTCCCTGCACGTAGGCCAGCCACGCAGCCCAAAGGACGGGAGCTAACTGTTCCCCCCAGAGGGGCAGGGAGGCCGCAGATGTGAAGCCACCCTGAGCCCTTACTTTACAAATCTGCCCCCTCCTCAGGCTGCTCACCTCACGCTCCTCAGACCCCTGCCGCCTGCCTGCCCGTCCTCTCCTCTCCCTCGTTCTGGCGCTGGGTGGGACTCTTATCTTGTCAGCTGCCCAGGTCACCCTCAGGTGACCCTGGGCAGGGACCACAAGGGCAGGCCTGCTGGGCTGAACCTGCTGGTTCCCTGCTCAGTGCCTCTGGGTCCTCAGAGGGGTCCGGGCAGGGGATCGGAGGAGGAGAAGCCAGGAAGGGACAGTGGCAGGAGCGGCTCCAACTGTTCGTCCCCTCAGCTCTCTCCCGCACCTCCCATCCCTGGAGGACCAGCCCCGGGCCACCCAGCAAGGCATGCACGCATGGGCCTGAGCCTCATTTTCACCTGAGACTGACCGCTTGCCCCCCTTCAAGGGTCCGATCTCTGACTTACTCTTTATCTCACAGCTCAGCCCCAGGACTGTTTTGAGACTCTGGGGAAATCTGGATCTCACTGAATCTTGGTCCAAGCAGACTCTGTGTTGAAGGTTCTGGGACCCTAAATGGCTCAGTCAAGGAAGATGGGATGGTCTCAGCCTTAAACCTCCTCCCAGCCCATCCCACCTGTGGCCCAGAACATTCATTCACTCAGCAAACAGCACATGCGTTCCTAGACACTGGAATACGAAAATGAACAAGCCAGACTTGAGGCCCGCACAGGGCTCCCAGCCCAGTGGGCTTGGGGTGAGGCCGGCAGAAAGCAAACCTATCCCAGTGCCCAGGCAGAGGTGGGGACTCTGAGCACAGAGTGTGAAGAAGCCAGCCCCCCACGGCATCCTCAACAGACCCTGAAAAGGAAATGGTCAAACCTGGGGGTCCTGCCTGGGTGTATCCCCTGCCCATGGTGGATGAGGGGACCCAGCTTTCATTTTACCCCCTTAGTCCAGCCCCTTTCCCTCTTCAGGGTGTTCTTCCAGCCACGTAGAGAGTCCTGGCCTCCCTGGTTTCCTGGCTGCTGGTTTTCTGGGCAGACCAGGGGTAGGGGGATTTAAACTCTACCCTCCTTGCCCCATCTGAGAACTGGGGGGTCAGGAGCCCCTGGGCCCTTTGTGCCCCTTCTGCTGGAATCCCCCGCACACCTGTTTATGCCGAGAAGCAACCTAAGTTTCCCAGAGTGAAGGGCACCCTATCCGTGCCGCTGCTCCAGACCTTCTGAGGTGATCACTTGTTCTCTTAGGACCCCTTAGTTGTTTCTAGAGGAAGAAAATATGCAGTTGGACATGTAATTTCTTCCTTTCCCTCGTTTCGCACACTGGGTTTCATGTTGAGTTTTATTTTTCAAGGAGGAATTTCTTTTTTTTTTAAGATTTTATTTATTTGAGAAAGAGAGTGAGCATAAGTAGGAGGAGGGACAGAGAGACAGAGGGAGACGGAGAGAGAGAAGCAGACTTCCCGCTGAGCAGGGAGCCTGACTTGGGGCTTGATCCCAGGACCCTGGGATCATGACCTGAGCTGAAGGCAGACACTTAACCGACTGAGCCACCCAGGCGCCCTTCAAGGAGGAATTTCATTGATAATTTTAGAAAGAAAGACGAAACAAAAATAGAAACCCATTAGACTAATCCCCAAGAAAACCTCATCTCTTCCCTTTTTTTTTTTTTTTGAGATTTTATTTATTTATTTCAGACAGAGAGAGGAGGGGCTTTGGAGGAGGGAGAGGGACAAGCAGACTCCGTGCTGAGTGCACGCCAGTGTGGGGCTCTATCTCTCGACCCCAAGATCATGACCCGAGCCCAAATCAAGAGTTGGAGGCTTAACTGACTGAGCCACCCAGGCTCCCCTCTTCCTTTTTCTGATGCCTCCCAGGCCCCTTCTATCCCTCTGTGCTGAGGATTCTTAGTTCCCCATCTTCAGGCCTTTTTACCAAGAGGGGCCTCTCTCTCATGTCATGGGGAAGTAGGTGGGTTGTTCCTGCTTAGGTCAAGGTTGAAAATTAGCCAGGCTTCTCTTCTGAGCCTTTTATGGCCAGCCATTCATAAATTTGTCCCACCCCGTTAGGAATCCATTTATCGGCCCTACCAGGGTCTCCTCCTGGTGTGGCGGGTCCCACATTCATTACTGGTGGGGGCAGCAGCATCTCCTGCTCAGTGGAAGCCTGGTGCCTCTCCTCATGCCCTCCTTCCCAGTGGGCCCACAGCGAGGTGAGAAGCCCCATTTCGCCTCTGTGGGCCTCACGGCCAGGACCTTCCAGTCCCTCCTGGTGGCTGGTGCTCATAAACCTGGCTCTAGCTCTAATGTTCCTGAGAGCATTCCAGAACACTGTAGAGAAGGAGTTCTGCTGTGGCTTCTGGAATCGAGCTGGCAGAGGGCGTCCTATGGAAAGCAACGTCTAAGAGGGACTTGTAAATTACACATCAATCCATCGGTCATAAATGGGCTCAGAAACTACTTGTTCATTTCAGAATAGGCTTTATCCCTTTAGAAAAGCCTGTTGTCCATGTGCTTTGCACACGCTCTTTGGATGCAATCAGGGAGGCCAGTTACTTCACTTGCCAATTACTCGGGCAGATTGCTGAATTTCTGATGCCAATCACTGAATCACAACAGCTGACCCAATGACCACTTATCAGTTCTGTCATCTTCTCCTTCCAGATCGTTCTCTGGGGCCGGACTGAGAAATGCCTGAAGGAGACGACAGAGGAGATTCGGCAGATGGGCACCGAGTGCCACTACTTCATCTGTGACGTGGGCAACCGGGAGGAGGTATACCAGACGGCCAAAGCTGTCCGGGAGAAGGTAAGTGGCCTAGAAGGGTCTGTCTGCACCCTTCTAGCTCGGCTACACCCAGGAGAATGCCAGCCAAAGAGATCAATCACACCTGGCCTGGGAAAGAGCATTGCTAATGGCAGAATGGCTGTTTCCGGGGCATCTTTGGGGACTCTCCTGGGAAGCTGGCCCCTGGTGTGTGTGCGTGAGTGTGTGTGTGCATGTGTGTGCTCCTTGGGGCGGGGATAAGGGTGTGGGTTGATTGCATAACAGGAGTAATCACCTGTTGTCCTCTTTGGAAGTTTAGACCTTGTGAGTTTCTGTCCTAGAGCTTGGGGGGCAAATGTCCCATTGCTCTCTGGGAAAATCCTTGTCCTAACTCCAGCCATCTGTTTGCACTGAATGTCTCAGTGAGCTCTAAGGGAGCAAAAACCACCCTGTTTGGTATCTGGCACATGGTGAATGTTAACTGCTTTTATGTAACAATAACCCCCTTGATTATAAACCTGCTCTGTACCATAAAGTCTTTCGGACCCTCAGATCGACCCCGGGATGGCTGGCAGCCCTGTCTCACAAATCCAGGTTGATGCCCGGAGAGACGATGTGGCTGTCCAGGGGCACACAGCCAGTGTTGAGGGGGCAGGTCCCTGTGCCCTAACGGCCCCGCGGCCCCCTTGCCCGCAGGTGGGCGATATCACCATCCTGGTGAACAATGCTGCCGTGGTCCACGGGAAAAGCCTCATGGACAGTGACGATGACGCCCTTCTCAAGTCACAGCACATCAACACCCTGGGCCAGTTCTGGGTAAGGGCTGTCCCGGGCCGCAGCCAGCCCCGGGTGTGACAGTGACCCATTCCTTCCCTCCTGGGTGCCGTCTGGGCGTGGGGAGAGGCTCACCGGGGCTGGGGCATGTGGACGTACAGGAATGTGGAGGTCAGGGCCCTGCAGCGTTCAGGCCTCGGCCCCTCCCCTCCCATCCTCGGAGAGCTCATCGTCGGCGGGGCGCGTGTGCCTCGGGGTGGCCCGTTCTCCCCTGAAGAAGTTTAGAGGGGCTGCTGGAGGCCCTCCACTGACCTCCCGCCCACCCTCAGACCACCAAGGCCTTCTTGCCGCGGATGCTGGAGCTGCAGAACGGCCACATCGTGTGTCTCAACTCCGTGCTGGCACTCTCCGCCATTCCCGGCGCCATCGACTACTGCACGTCCAAAGCCTCGGCCTTCGCCTTCATGGAGAGCCTCACCCTGGGGCTGCTGGACTGTCCTGGAGTCAGCGCCACCACCGTGCTGCCCTTCCACACGAGCACCGAGATGTTCCAGGGCATGAGGGTCAGGTGAGTGAGCGGGGAACTCGCCTCCCCACCCTCACCCCCCAACCCTCCGCGCCCCCGCCACGGCCCCCAGCAGATCGGACCAGGGCCACGCGGCATATGCGCACAGAGAGCCGACCGTGAAAACTATCTCCGACGCCCGTTATCTTTGGCTTTGTGGTCTCAGACCCGATTCCCCATCCGTAGTGCTTTAGGGTCCTGCTTCTCAGGTCAGGGGACTTTTATGAAGTATCAATTCTACCTGCATGGGTGCAGTGGAATATTCCCCAACTATCAAAAGAGAACAGAGTATTGATCCATGAACAGCATGGATGAATCTCAAAAGTCTTATGTGGAGCAAAAGAAGCCAGACGCAGAAGAGTGCTTTCTGCATGAAGGCACCGTATGAAGCTCTGGAGCCAGGCCATGGCAATAGAAATCAGCGCAGTGGCCGTCCCTGGAGGGCTGGGGACATAGCTTGGGAGGAGGCACAAGGGAACATTCTAGGCTTTTAAAAATGTTCTCTCTTCCTGATCTGAATGGCGGTCACATAGGTAAAAAGTAATCATGCTATACCCTACAGATTTATGCCTTTTTATTGTATGCAAATTATAGCTTAGTTTAAAGAAATCCTGAAGCCCAACCACCTCTCCTCCAGGCCAGTTAAATCAAAGGGAATGGGAACCCTTGGTTTAGAGCTCATGCTTTGGTGCCAACTCACCTTTACCTGTAATGTCCCCTGTGGCCCTGGGTCCAATGAGTCCCCACTGCAGCCTCCATTGCTCATCTATAAAATGGGATGATGAGAGGGGCATCTGGGTGGCTTAATCGGTTAAGCATCCGACTCTTGATTTCTGCTCAGGTCATGATCTCAGGGTCATGAGATCGAGCCCCACATCGGGCTCCATGCTGGGCGTGGAGCCTGCTTAAGATTCTATCCCTCTCCCTCTGCCCCTTTCCCCTCCCCCCAGCTTGCTCGTTCACTCTCTAAAAAAAAAGAAAGAAAAAGAAAAAAAAAATGGGATGATGAGGATGTCCACACCTAGGGTTTTGTGATAAGGATAAAATGGGACTTGGCAGGCAACACCACATGTTACCTGCCCAATAATTGGCACTATAATGATGTGGGCTTGTGAAGGGGCATAAAGTCATAGATAAATGTAAATGCGGGATTACCCAACAGCTGCTTTCCTTGCTTTTTGCAACATGGCATACAATTATAGATTTGCCTTCCAAATTATACACATCAACTTCTTCCAAAAACGAGGACAACGTGGAGGGTCCTGGTGGGAATCGAATGAGTCAGCCGGTGGAGGACCTTTCACAGAGAGCAAACCATACGGGGATCCCTCAGTCCCCCCGAACTGTTAGTATCGAGCATGGTTTGGTGACAGCCCCGCATCTCTGCACTTGCAAAATCTTGAGCCAGTTTTGCTACCTCTCTGAGCCGTACTTCGCTCCCCTGTAAACGAGTGGAAATCAGATTTCCCCCAGGGGCTCATGAGAAGGGGTTGAAGTAACACACAGAAGGTTCTGGTACAAAGCCTGGCACATCCTGTCCTTACTGACAGTGAGCATCTCCAAGAAGGCGTAGGTGATTAACCTTCCTCAGAGATCACACCTTCCGTGCACCACCGAAATTTCCACCCGACTCACGTGCCAAGCATCGTAGATTCTGTATGTGGAGGAGGTTGGATTAATGACAGTTAATGTTCCATGTTGGCTCCCCACCCCACCCCCATCTCCTCTTGGTTTGGCTTCTTTTCATCTGGGCACACGGGAGGTGCTCTGTAAATGCAGCAGGGGCAATCCAGGGCTTCCACTGGGCTCCGGAACATGGAAGTGGGCGGGATATCAGCAGACCTCTGGCAGGATGCCTGTCTCACCTTCTGGCAGTCTCCTCTCCGGCGCATTAAAGAAATGCGAGGTTCCCCCAAGCCACCTTTCTACAGTGGTTCCGAGTGGGGGCCCACACAGCCTCGGGCCAAACCCCAGCTCCGTGTGACCTTGGACAAGTTACTTTAGCTCTTCTGTGCCTTGGTTTCATCTCTAAGAAGGGATTGGTAATGTACTTCCTGCTTCACAGGTTAGTGGGAATCCACTAGCCTGCCTGGCAGGTAGTACCCACCAGGTGAAGGTTAGTGACCTGTGGATGTGCAGCTGAGCACATCTGCGCACACTGTGGGGAGAGTCATAAAGGGGTGATTGGTGTTTAACCAACTCTCATTTCTTAAAAGAAAAAAAGAAGAAGAAAAAGAAAAGCATTGGCTTCCTCCCCAACCATGAAAAAACTGATGGGCTTTCTGGCAAGAGCGAGTCGTAGAGGTGGGAGCTGTTGTCTGCAAATCGCTATTTACTGATCTTGTTCTATGTTCCAGCCACAACAGCTACTTTATAAACGCAGCTGCATTTGACCCTCAGCAGCCCCGTGAGAGCGCTCTTGTTCCCATTTCACAGACGTGGGAACTGAGGCTCAGAGGAGCGAAGTTACTTGCCCAGGGCCACACAGAGGGAAATCGGCTGAACATGCTTCTTCCACAAGTCTGGGCTGCCTCCGTGGGGGTAAAGGCTCTGCCTGTTCCCTGTGTACCCATCCCACCCACCAAGAAGGAAAGAAGGACCCTCCAGTGGGCACACTGGCATCCTCTGTCAGCTTCTCCTGCAGGGGTCTTACTAGGAAGGGCCCCCCTGAACCCACGGAGCTTGGCCTATCCATCCTGTCTTCCCTTCCCCCAAGTAGCGAGCAGGACCGGCCCAGGTCGGGGCTGGAAAACCAGACTGTCCGCGGTGTCTGTTCCGGCCTCCATGAGCGGCCTCAGCACATTCAGCTCTGCAGGCCCCTGGTGGCTGCCCTTCTAGATCACAGGGCTGTGAGCATGTTGGCTGCATGTTGGGATAGGGAAGGAAGCCCCTGGCGGGGAATGGGGAGGAGGGGACACCCACGGGTTCTCTGAGGCCAACCCAGCCCATGCTTGGGTCCCAAGAGTTGCCTTTGCTCAAGGTAACATCAGCTCTGAGTGACTTACCGCCCTAAGTGCTCCTGGGGCCCGAACAGCACACAAGCCCTCCGTGGGATCGAGGTCAGCCCTGTGCCTACAGGCCCACGAGGGATGGGACAAGCTGCGAGGGAGGATGAGGACAGAGCTTTGGCCTGGGGCCCATGCTGGCCTGGCTTGAGCCCTTAACCCCCCCCCCCAATCTCCCCCAAAGCCTCAGCTTCCTTCCCTATAAATTGGAGCAAACGGCTCCTGATGCATTTAGCGCGGGCCTGGCACTTAGGGAGATGTGTGGGTCTCCGGTCAGAGGCCTCTGAACAGGCATGAGAAAGCTCCCTGGCGTTTGTGTATTCAGTGGTTCATTTACCAACCCCATGGAAAGCGCTCTGTCAATGTTTGGATGGCTCAGTCAGCGAATCAATGAATCAGTGAGGGAAGCAGCAAGCTGGGCAGAGTTCCCGCAGACCCCTGCCTCCAGACAGGACGAGCAGGACACATTTGGGGAACAGCAGGTTGTTCTGTGTCCATCCGTTCAGTGAGCCTTGATTGAGCACACACTCTGTACCAGACTCTGCACAGAGGGGATAAAACAGAGAGCAAGACCGACCAGAACTCTGCCCTTGTGGAACGCACAGTCTGAGGCGGGGAGACAGGCCATGAGCAAGGAAACAAGCAGACAAGCAAAGCCATTCTAGAGGTGGCCAATGCAGTCAAGGGAATTAGCAGGGGGAGGAGATCAGAGGCCACCCCGAGGGGACGGGCCGAGAACCCTCTCTGATGGGACAGCTGGTGAAAGGCCCTGAGCCGGCAAAGAGTTTAAGTGGCAAGAACAGAAAGGTTGGCCGGGATTGCTGGAGCAGAGTGATAAGGGCGAGGGGTCAGGCAGTGGGTGAGCAGGGCCCACAAGGAGCAGGGCGGTGGAGGGCACTGGGAGCCCTGGGAGGGTCTGGGCCAGGCAGCGCCATGATCAGAGTGACATTTTAAATAAAGAATCCCTGGGAAGCATTTTGGAGAATGGGTCCCAGGGGATGGGCTACAAGATCTCCATTCTCAAGGGGAGACTCAAGGGTGGACTCCCACCCCTTCTGGGGCAGCAGGTGGGGGGTGGGCAGAACCTTCTAAAGGGGACTCAAGTCTCCCAAAGAGCAGACACCAGAGGGATGGGCCAAATTTTTTAGCCACAGAGGCGGTCAGCAGAAGCACTGGCTTCTCTAGAAGAATCCCCTATCGTTTCTTCCTACGTCAGGTTCCCCAACCTCTTCCCGCCGCTGAAGCCGGAGACGGTGGCCCGGAGGACGGTGGAAGCCGTGCAGCTCAATCAGGCCCTGCTCCTCCTCCCGTGGACCATGCATGCCCTCATTATCTTGAAAAGGTAAGGGCTGGAGGGTGGGGGAGGGCAGCTCCGAGGCAGGCTCACGCTGGCCATTTCCCCTTCTGCTGGGAAACCCTGGTGGGGAGGGGGCGGCAGGCAGGAGAAAGGACGAGTGTGATCGATTAGTCATGTCTGCTGTGGGCGCGAGAGCGAACAGAGGCGGTCTGTGTGCCAGGGATTTCCTACACTTAGGATAGAGCCGCAGTTCTGAAACTTGTGGGTCTCAGGACTCCTGTACAATCTTAAAAATTAGAGGAACCCGAAGCCCCTCCCCTTTTTTTAATGTGAGTTGTATCTATTATTAGTTACCATAGGAGAAATTAAAATGGAAAAAGTTTTACAAGAGTTATGTATTTGTTTATATTTAAAATACTTATTCATTTATAAACAGCAGTAATAAATCCATTTCCATCCTTTGTTGACATAAATATGATATTTATATAAAAAGTGTATTTTCCACCAAAAATAAAAGTAGTAGGAAGAATGGCATTGTTTTGATTTTTGCAAAGTTCTTTATTGCCTGACTTAATTGGAGACAACTGGATGCTTAGATCTGCTTCTGATTTTAATCGGTTATAATGTCACATGTCACCTCGCCTCCAGAAAACTCAGCTGCATGTGGGGGAGAGACGTACGGAGGCAAATATGTCTTAGTGTTATTACAAAAAACAGTTTGACCTCTGAAGAGGTTTCAGGTATCCCCTGAGGGCTCCTGGGCCACACTTTGAGAACCACCGTTTCCAGAGACTAGTACTTAGCCCTGAGGTCCAGGAAATTCAATCTAATGGGGGAAAACAGGGATCTCAATGTTTGAGATTCCCAGAAACGCTCCAGGGCTGGTCAGGTGGGATGTACCAGGAGGTAGGCTTTAAAGAGGAGATCATCCTCCTTCAGAATCGGCCCAGCATCACATTTCCTAGAACTCTCTAGACTCTGAGCAGCACACCCTGCCCCTCCCAGTCCTGCCCTGAAGGGGCGGCCATTCCAGGTGCCCACCTAAACCTGCTGCTTCAGGGAGAGCTTGGACGCTGGAGCCCCGTGACCGTGGACTCCTGGCTCCTCTGGGCCTCGTCTCCTGCCCCCAGCCCCCAGCTGACTGGACCCCTCTGACCTGAAAGGCCTTTTCAGGAAGTGAAGGACCCAGGTGACTCCATGAGACATCAAGGCCCAGGAAACCGGTTCCCCTCTGGCTGAGCTGCTCCAACTGCAGGCTTGGGGACCTCCTCACGGAGGAGACACATCAATCAGTCCAAACTCATAGCTCTTTTAGAGACACCTGGTAGGGGGCAGGGGCAGGGGGCACCTGGGGCATTTGGGCCACATCTTTGCGTCCCTTAGGCCATCCTGATTGTTGCTCTGAGATGCTCCTTGCTGCCTCTGTGAGCCCCTAGGAGAGTAGAGACTGCCACCCTCCACCGCAGGGAGCGTCTCAGAAGCCTTTCTGAACCTTCTAGAAAAAAGCTGGTTTGTCTAGAACATGTCAGTGTTTCCCACAATAAGCCCCCAGCCTACATTCCCTCTTCTGTCCCCCACTACTTTCCACAGGAAGCAGAGGCCACCCCCTTCCCAGCCCCTGCACGGTACCCCCTTTTCACCGTCCCGAGAAAAATCTTTAGAAGCTCAACTCTAGCGTCACCCACGCCCCAGGGAGCCTTCCAGAGCCCTTCCCATCCTGCACCGAGGCCAGGGCCCTTGGATTTGATTTAACAAACGGACTGAGCCCTGCGTGTGGGGCTTGGATCAGAGATGAAGTATCTCCCTCCGAGGCACGCATGGGCCTGACAAGCAAACACAAGGACACCGCAGGGCCCACTGGGGAAGCAGAGGGGCTGTGGGGGAGCCCGAGGAGAGGCCTGGGGGTGAGTCTGGGAAGTTTCCCTGGAGGAGGTGACGGCGGTACCTGACTCGTCAGTCCCACCCAGCAAATATTTGTTGAATAAGCAGCACGTGGAGTTAATTGATCTCTCAGACACCTGTTGGCCCCAAAATGCTAAGAATGTGGCTTTGAAAGTTTGTTTCTACCACCCATCTTTACCTTGGAAACATTGTCTATCCACTTACTTGAAAGCCCTTCCTCCATGGAGGGCGGGGTGGGGGTGGGGGTTTACGGGAACCATTGCTCTACTGTGTGGTCCTCCGTGGCCAACAGTGACCTGGCCACTGGCGCCCCTGCTAACCATCTTCCTTCCTCCCTCCCCACTCCCCCAGCATACTCCCACAGGCCGCACTGGAGGAGATCTACAAATTCTCAGGAACCTACACCTGCATGAACACTTTCAAAGGGCGGACATAAAGGCCGGACGCAGAGACACGCTCGCAAGCCACGGAACCTGAGGGGGCCGCGGTGCTGGGCACACACCCACGCGCCTGTCCCTTGGCACACTTCTGCTGGGTGAGCAGGACTGCTCCTGGCCCCAGGAAGCATCCGGGTGCCCCCCCCAGGCCAGCCCCAGGACCTTTGCACAGGACTGACGGGTGTAACTCTGACCCCCATGGGGAGGCGAGAAACCAGCCAGCAGCCACCTTGACACTTTGATACATTTCTAATTCTGTAGAGTTTATTGTTAAATTGCTTCTCGAGTCTAACCAGCCTTAGCAGTGTGCCTAGACTGTTGCCAGGAGGGTCTATACCCAGATGCTCTCTTCTTTCCGAAATCCACCCATCCTCAGCTTGTGCAAACTGGTTGAATGGCAGGAATGAAAAATAAAGAGATGGTTTTTGTGAGTTCCTTTGTTGAAATCCCCGACCCCTCGTCCTTAGCAGTGGGGAGGGGACCGATCCCCACCACAAAACCCCATCATTTAAGAGACAGTCGGTCTGCTCGGGGTCCCCAGCTGCCAGGAGTGGAGCGGGCAAGAAGAGGGCAGAGACGGCGAGAGAAATTGGGGCCTGTGCCTGGGGTATGTGGTTCCTTGCCGCCTTTGCCAGGACCCTCCCAACAGCCGTGGGTTGAGGGGCACTTGGCCTCACCACCCACGACCTGAATGAACTAGTCTGCAGAGAGCTGCCCTCTGCCCTGCCACAGCCCCACCAGCCGCAAAGCGACCAGCTCGGAAGAGCAGAACCAGTCCTTGGTGAGCACCCACTGAGCGGCGGGTCAGTCTACTGAGCATGACTGGGTACTGAGAGGGAATGTCTCCGAGGAGCCAAAACTCTGAAGACCACCAGCACCAGAGGTCCCCTGCTAAGGGTCTGCTGCAGGTCCCTGAGCCAGATTTGACGGCAGGGGCTAGAAGTGAAATAGAAAGCAACGGGGAGGTCTGGAAAGGCACAGTGGACCCGGGCTCAGTCACCGAGGAGGATTACGGCCAAGGAGACGTGGGGAGAGAGGCCCCATGGTTCC